TGTTCTCTTGTTTACAGTAGTTAATTTATGTTTGATTAAACCTCCGCACAACAATGCCACTTTACACTGATCATGTCATCTCGGCTGGTGATGAAACGTTTGTAAACAAATTGCCAAGCTCGACGAACAAGCGAAATAGAATGCTAAACTCTGTTGCGTGGCCGTTTGCCACAGGCCCATCCCTCTTTCATGGTTCGAAAGACTTTTCCTTCGTGGAAACGACCTTAGCAACACCGTACTCTTGTATGATCCATCCAGATGGGACTATGTATAAGTGAAAACAAATGAAGCCGATTTGTGCCAGCCCTGTCCATGGGGTAGAGGAGTCGGTAACAGAGGGACACAAGAGAACGTATCTTTACGCGCATTCAGAGAGTAAACTTGACCAGATTTGTTTTGCGATTTCTGTTGCGTGAATCAAGGGAACGTGTATCACTCGGTCAATCCGAACGAGTGGTCAACCAATCACAGCTACACTGGTCATGCATAGTGTGACGTATTATTGTGAATACTTGGCATGGGCGCAGACTAGGTCACCGGTTGGAAACACTACCTCTGATGTGATGTGAGCGGACGGATAGTGATCTATTTAGCCTACTGATAGAGGCACGGAATCAAGCCAAAAGTGTGCGGTTTCTTTGACCCACTAAAATTCAACTATTTCTGTTCTACATTCATAATTATCCGTGTATGGTTGATGAGGTCAACTGCGCTGTCCCTCGGAATTTATCGATTGGAATAACTTCACGGCTTTCTCTGTATTCCATGGCTTAGTATAACTGTGATTGAGTTTCGGAACCAGTAATGTGTCCGCAATAGACGTTTCCATGCAAATCGATATGCTTTTCGGTATTCATTACTCGTCACCACGCCTGTGCATGCTGACGCTAACAAAAATTTTGCTCATTCGGTCACTCTGCTTTCCGTCAATTATTAAGTAAGGCCCCTGACTACTCGGTTGTGTTTCACGAGTTGCAATCCTATAACAATTCCATCTATCTGGCGATAGAGTGTACCGTTATTTGGAAACTAAACGTAGTAACAACTCTTTTTGATTTATGACCGACATACGAACATCGAAATTCATCGTGTCTATTTGGTCACAGGTGAAGGTAACTATTTCTAACGGGAGCACATTGGTGAGCAGGAAGCCGAACTTCAAGGAAAACATCGCCCCATTTGACAAAATTCTGGTCTTTTATGTTAGCTGCCTCTGAAACTGTACCTGTCCAGTTTACAACAGACATGTTTTGGCAATTCTTCCAGTCATTATGACATAGAGTGATACGGTAAATTCGACATTGCCATAATCGTTCGAACTGGGATTCCTTTATTGTGGACCATAGGGAGACCATTTAGTTTTGGTTTGGTTGACCCACATGGTTTCATTCACTCGACCGTTGTTATGTTTTTTGTGCACTTCTTCAGTGGCTACCTGATTTCACATCCACCCACCTTTTTAAATCTTTTATTTTCCTATCACCCCAGCATTTGTAGTCCTTTGAAACGATTTCATAAAGGTCGAACCGGAAAAATAGCATGGCTGCTGTTTCCCATGATGCTTGATTTGAAACACATTTTATGAAATGCACTTTGCACTTGATCAGTATGCAGAGTCGGCGAGCGAATAGCGCATTCAACTCTCAACTAACTAACTCACTAACTAACTAACTCACTCACTCACTCACTCATCGTGGATAATGTCGGCGTAATTGATAACGGAAAAACGATTTTAATGACATCAGAATCGATTTTTTCACCTCGCCTATTTTTGTTTGATCCTCCTTTCCTCAGGTCGAAATGAAACTGAACAAGCGAACTAAACTCATAAGTGACCTTCAAGCGGATGAACAACGGATCAAAGAAATGGATTTGCAGCTGGACAGCCAACCCGGTGCTCTGACCGGTGGAGAGCAGTGTTCACTCAGAGAACTCATCACGCGTTGGCAGACAGAAGCACACCGTGTAAATCGGCTGATCCACACGCTTGAATCACGTGATACTCAGTGGCAGGATCAGATGACCAGTTGTGGGAAAGAGGACGTGGAACTGCATGATCGGTGTGAGGTATGGCGCAAGCAAGTCCGCTCCCTTTTAAGTCGGGCTCGTCAGAATACCACGGCGATCGCAAATCGCCTGTCCGCATTGCAAGAGTGCCAGTTAACTGTGGAAACACTTCGGGCTCAACTGAACGACTGTGAGCATCAACGCAGTCTAGCCATGATCGGTCCCGAGAGCCCAGTGGATGACGGAGGTGAAAGTGTGCGGGCAATACAAGAACGTTTCACGACATCGAAGGATAAGATAAAAGTGAGCCAATTAATTAGCTTAAATCCTTTGTCTACGCAGAAATAATCCGTTGGTTTACACTAGAATGTATTTTCGATAAATAATTTACGCATTTCATTTTCTGAAAACAAGATTATTATGATCCGCCTGTCGACTTCATATAGATAGTGTGAGAAAACGAGACAACATTTTACGAGTTCCGTAGGTAGGTTGCATAACGTACGGTCAGAACATTGCAATCACCTTTGTTATAGAAACTCTGATAGTTAATGCAATATATCAAGCTTGGATTATCCTATTCGTACGACTTGATATATATATATATATATATATATATATATATATATATATATATATATNTGTGTATGTTGTGTAACAGACCCCTGATGATCGTGAGTAGATTCCCTGCCTAAGAGTAATAAGATCTCATAAAGAAGACACATATCTAGCGAGAGTCAGTCATTGTCTGGTGAAGTACGGTACTTTCAGCGGTTGTTTGAGTGCGCTAATCGTACAAGGGAAGTACACCCATCCTTATTCAATGAGCAATATTCTCATTGTCTTCTAGAATGTAGCACCGTGTGGACAGAACATCTGTGAGAATGAGTGATCAATAATTTAGGAGCTTCGAACTTGAACATCTGTACGAATACTTCCCGGTAAGGTAACAGTATACTAGCACACGTTCGGTCCCGCGGCCGCACACTTCCCCCCGCGCATCCAGTATGCATATCCAGAATTCTGTTTGGTCAGTGCTCTAATCAACAGCGCATAGATTTCAATTGGTTGTTGTGCCACATACACACACAAAATTTCATGTTTCCTTCGCTCATCATCCATATCCCATCCGACCGTCAGCATGTGCCTTTTAGAGGAAATTTGATCAACGGCGAGCACAAAATTATTGTCCATTTTCAATACACTGCCCATTTCTAATAGTCTATCACATAATAAATGACTTATGTTTTAAAGTTGTTATCCCACCGCGAAATCCAAGTAGCCCAATCCTCAAAAAAAATGAAGCACGAAATCACTGTTTAGCACAACAGGACTTGAATTTTGCAGTTGTGAAGAAATTCATTAGTTTTCTGCTTTTATTTCTTGTTCATCTGTTTTGACTCGGTCCAGTGGATGTTTTTGTTGTGTGTGTGTGTGTGTCATGTAAGCATTTTAACTGAGCTATTAGTTGTTCTAATCTGTGGGATAAGCCATGGAGTGATTGTAACTGCCATACGTTCTAATCTACCCTCAATTCGTTTTCAGATAATTTCGAACAAAGCCGAAGATATTTATCATCAACTGGAGGAGGTTACGATGACCATTCATGATTTGGAAACTACTCCGACTGAGCTGGCAGAACTCAAACAGGCCATTGACAAACTGGTGAAGAACTTGGATGTGGACATAGGTCGACTAGACGAACAAATGGTCGCCACACAGACGCTCGATACTCTTGTGAGCCGGCTCAATCAACAGATGGTGGATTCTGAAGCCCAGGCAAACGATATACTCATGGGACTACCACCAGTAATANCAGTAATAGACGGACGGGAACTGATCGATGCATTGACCTTCTTCCAGAAAACTACAAAATCCTTGAAGGATGTTATTTCTTACCTCGATTCCACAACTGTACAACTACAAGCCGAAATCGATACGCACTGGGATCGTACAGTGAACCCGGAAGGAACTCACGAACCAATGCCGTTGAGATCACTTAAATCCAAATTACGAAACCGTGTAGAACAATTGCAATCCAAACTGTTTGATCACGTGACCCGAAGGGATAAATTGATTGCTGATTTGAATTCCGCAATCGCATGTGAACGTGAAGCCAAGACCTATGTCGAAACATTTGAACATGAAGTAGATACGTTACGACAGACCAGTCCAGCAGAGTCCATTGAGGCCTCTAGTAAAATGGCCAGAGATTTATTAAATCGATACAAATCGGACAGTTCTGTGACTCGGGCAACGTTGAACAAATCGATACAAGTAGTCCTGCAGACGTTACGCAACGAACCCATTCAAAAAGATCCTCTCCAATTCGGTCGACTGATCGAATCCATTCGTAGTATTCCGACTCGGTTTGACACGCAGCTGAGTGATATTCAACGAGGTCTGGAACAACTACTCACAGAATATCAAGATCTAGCCAAAACAGAAGGATATCATTTGAATCAAGTGATCGATATCCGCCGTGAACTGGAGCTGATTCACACACTGGCAAATGATATTCGTCTGAAACTAAATGACATATCCGATCCGAATGAGTTTACCGAATTTCAACAACAAATCAAGCAACTTAATGGGAAATTGGACATACAAAAGAAACGATTGGAGAAAATTCAACAAGATTTATCCACTCAAACTGTTCTGAGCGCGGAATTGCAAACCAATCTAGCCCAACTAGAGAAACTGTACCTGGATGTGCGTTCCAAACTCACCGAGTGTGATCAGGTTGGAGATTCACGATGGAAAGCGGTTCATCAATATCGTCAAGCCGTGGATCGTTGTGAACGTGCCCTGTCCGCTTGTGAACGTCAAATCGATTTGCTCTGTGCTCAGTCCGAGCTCAAATCCGAACGGCAAAGTCCAATGACACGTGTGGATCAATTAATGGAACAGCTTCAAACGGCCAAAGCTCTACTGACACGACAACCTGTTTCGGATAGACGTGGTCAAACCGGCACGAGCGAATTGGACTTGGCAATTGAGCATTTGGTTCAATCGGCAACCGAGTTGAATTTGTCCACTCGGAGCACCAATTGGACCCGGTTTTTGCTTGAAATCGATCGATATTTGGCTCGTTTAGCCACGGAACAAGAACGTTTGAATCGAGCCAGTGAGGTGAAACAGGCATGCCTTGCACGTTTATCCCGGGTCGAAACTCGACTGACTCAGTTCGAACAGGAGATCCACGGTACAGA